TTTGGTTTCAAAGGTAAAGATGTTGACGTACTTGTAGGTCTACATTACAAAAAAAATTATTTTGGTCAATTGCAAAAGTAACCTGTGCGTTGACAAGTAGACTGCATCGTAAGTCTACACGTATGTGTAGACATATCATACAGTCTACATTCGCGATACAAATCAGAGATATGACGAAAAGCTTGTAAAGAGTTACCTTAACACCGGTTTAAAGCTTGTTTCCAAGCTTTTCCACCGTCTAGAATCCAAATATGAGCAAAAGAAGCAACCTTTACGATCCACTTGTGGATAAAATCGAAAATATGAAGTTTTTGTTTATGAAAATGAGAGTTATGAGGTATGTTTAGATGAAAATAGAGAGGAAATGAGAGGAAATGAAGTATTGTTTGTTTAGAAATTGAAATAAGTGGTTGAAATTTCATAAACACAAGCTTAAAGAGCTCATCAATGGTGGTTTTGGGTGGTTGCAAATATTGATGACAATGGCATTATGGTAAATAAGGAGAAATGTTTATGGTGTAATAGGTTTTTTATAATTTTCGAAAATAAAATCAGATTTAAAAATAATGGCATTTTGGTAAATAGGTGGAAACATGAGGAGAGTTTAGGTTTTTTAAGAGTGAATAGTAATGACAAAAAAAAAGAGATTGGTTTTGTGTTTGACTTGAAATTTTAGGTTGGTTTTGCAAAAACCCCATTAATAAATGATATCGATAATATTATTATACATAGGTTTTTATAACATTTTTCTTAAGATTTCATCTATGAAAAACAAGTAAACAAAAAAAAACTTAAACAATTTTTTATTATATAAAAAAATTATATTTAATGCAATCAAATCAAAATAATTTTTTTAAAGATTTTACCTATGAACAATACTAATACTGTGAGCAAAAAAATTACTTTTGTAAGGTGTATTGAATTGTGGATTTTAAAGTGTTTTGGTTTTGTATTGTTCAAATAAATGTCTAAATATTCTTTAATTTTGCATGAAAATCTCAAATAAATAAGTACAATGTTACAAAAAATCTCAAATAAAGATTTATTTAATGTGCACTTATTTCAAAAATCCATGATGGATAACATCAAATCTGTTCTTGATATCCTTAATTAATTTAATAATTAACGCTTTTGCACACTTAATTTAAAACCCACTATATAAATGTCTGCATGTTACATAAAAACACAAAAACATAAAAAAAGAAAAAAATGGAAAATTCCTCAACGTGTTCCTCTACTTTGGAAGATACATGCGTAGCAAACAAAACATCTTTGTGGAAGATAAGGAAGGTCTTGACGGAGAAATGTGAAGGTTGGATTGATTTTGATAATAACAGCCATGTTGAGAACTATCTTTTAAACCCCTTGAATGAAAATATTAATAAAGTTAAAAAAGAATCTATAAATATTAAGATCGACGATTACGATATGGGGTGCCAGCACGAGGTGACTTTAGGGTATAATCATGAATCTGACAAATATTATCTTGGGAAGAAATATTGGAGGATGACGGAGCTTGATGTTGGAGATGAAGTTGGATTCTTCTACGATCCCATTGCAAAGAATGTGTGTTTCTCTGTGTTGAAACAAGCAGAACCTTGATAATTAATCAGCACTTGTTTAATTATGCTTAACTATATACATTATGTGGTTTAATTAATGGATACATAGTAATATAAGTATATAATCTTCTCTATTAAAAGAGAAGTACCAAATTTATCTACTATTTAGAAGTCATGTTGGACCATGTTATTAATTACTTAATTGACATATTTTATTGTTACATTAACCAGTCAAATATATATGATTTTCACAATATCTTAATAACTAATAAGAACATTAATAATAAATAAATTTAAATATAACAAAATCTGTTGAAAAAATC